CCTGCATCTTCCCTCTACACAAGGATACGGAGCTCTGTTTCTATACCCCTTGACTTCAATCTCTTTAATAAGCCATTTCTCCCTTGCTACCATTGTGTGAGTGCATGAGTCAAACTGTGGCCTGTTATCAATGCAAGTCACTTCCAGGGCTCCATGTCTTGAGAAGATGGACTTCATATGATTAACAACACTGTTGGAGGAAAACATTTCAAACCCAGCCAGCTCAAAATACAGGAGTAATAGTTGGACAAAAGAAGTGCCACAGACTTTTCAGGTGAAATGTCTCAGGTCTTACCTTTTGCCAAGGGCATCCAGGAAAACTGATGGCATGAGCAGTTCATGCTAATTGCTCTGCTCTTGCAGACACTGTGTGCAAAGGACAAGATCTTCCAGTTGAAATCAATGACCAGGCCTCCAGATGGCTTGGCAAGTGCCTTTGGTAATGCCTTGATGTCCATAATGCAGCTTATGGAGATTTTCAGCCTGCATGCTTAGTGGGATAATGTACACAATATCCCTTCATCAACAGTCCATCTTGCAGCACACTTTCATGTGAGTGCTCCCAATACAACCTGCTCTCATGGCTCACATGGTGTCTGAGCAGCCAACTCTGCTGGCAGTACAGGTTTCACTCACTTTCTGCTGTACATGCGTTCCTGGAAAACGGTGAGTAACTTGAATACACATAAACAGAACCCACTTTACAATGTAACAAATAGGAATACGTTCCAAGACCTCAACTGTACTGACCCCCAGACCCATTTCTACCACTTTTACAAGACAATGTTGGTACTCACCAACAGCAGACAGTATATACAAGCACAGGGTATTATCATAATGGGGATGACAACTACAGAAACATGTGTTGTAGACAACGAGCGAGGAGCACAGATCCACATAGGAGATTATATTTTGGTGTGCATCACTCCCACAATGCACCACACAAAGCAGCTAACTGTGGACGTCCGCCACACCGATTGCATAAGAGTGAATTTACCTTGCAATAATGAATTTTTGGTATAAAAAGGGTTATTGCGGAAGAGTGAATTAGCACATACAGAACCCACATAAAGTGAGGCAAACCTGTACCTAATAAGCTTGTGAATCATTTGATCAGCCTGCTGTGTGCACCAGATTTCCAGCAGCACTTGACCTGTTCCTGGTAATGAAGTCATGACCTGCTGTAGCCATTTCTTCTATCAGTTTTTGATCACCTGACTCAGGCAAATGGCTTCTTGATAACATGTCTGCCACAAAAAAGTTTAAGAGGAGTGTGGTGGATCATAAAGGAGCATCTTTCCATAGAGATCTTAATTTTTGGTAGGTATGGCACAAAATCATCAAGATATTACACTGAAAATACAGATGCTTTGCCACTGATTCTCTGGATACAGTGAGGCCTGTGATAAAATCTTGAAAGCATTCACACACTTAAGCAATTGCCAGAGTCTTCCTATATCCATACTTTAATTTTTAGTGTGTCAAGCAGTGTTCACAAATGCATAAGCTACTGGTCTCATCTCACTATCATTCTGTTTCTGAAGCAGGACCATTCCTAATCCCAAAGAGGATGTGCCAGTGAAGACAATGGTCCGTTTGCTTGGCCTCACAATGGTTCCCATGTCTACTCTGTATTAGAATGTAATAAATCTTACAGAGGATGTGAAAAGTCAGCCTTTCTGGTTCAAACTTATCCAAGAAGCCGACTGTAGTCAGAGAATGCTTCAGTCCTGTAAGACTGACAGGCTTCGCCATTTCATAGATGGCCTGTACCTTGCTCTCATCAGTGTGTACACAAGCAATGGTGACTGCATGGCCCAGAAATGGGCACTGTCCTTTTCAAATTCACATTTACTCAGGTTTATGTTAGCTGTACCTTCCTGAAGTGCATGCAACACTCTACACAGGCAGCTGCAGATCTCTACAGTAGAATGGATGACTAGGATATTACCAAGATGATGGTTTTGGCTGCTTTATGCTCACTCTTTGTGATGTGGTTGCAATCATTCTGTTCAGAACAGCTGCTGTGCACTCAGCTCAACTGTTACTGCCTGACACCAGCTGACAAAGAAGCAATGACATAGTCAGTGTTGCTTATGGGTTTAGCACAGGGGAAGGCAATTATTTCAGGTGGAGGGCCAGTTACTGAGTTTTGGCAAGCTGTCGAGGGCCACATGGGTAGCCCCACCCCGCCTTGATAGGTGCCCTGCCCCCTGGCTGCCAAAAGTCCCGCCCCCTAGCCCCTGACCTTTGTCACCAGAAGTCCCTCCCCTTGCCCCCAGAAAAACTTCTTTCAGCAAGGGGTTTTGCCATCTCAAAACCAGAAAAATACCAAATGATATTCTAAAAATTGAACATCTACAACATTTATTAATTTGATTTCAAAAAATGTTTCTGACCTGATTTACATGTGTTTGTGTAGTGTACATTGAGGTGATTTGCACAATAGCTTAAAATTAAGTGTTAGTCTTATATGTTGTGGGGGGTAGGCATAGGTTTGTGCTGGGCTGTGGGTGTGTGGGTATTAGGGCTTCAACAGATTCCCTGAAAACAACTGGTATCTCCCTGAAATGATGTTTCAAGAGGGAATAAAATTATTGTCAAACTTAACAATAAGGCAGTATATGGCTTTACTTATTGAGTCATGAGATTGACAGACAATATTATATCTTCAGTTTGTGGCCCCACAAGATGCAGGCAGGTTAATTTGCTCTTCCTCTAGCTTGCTTTTCAATCCTGGTGCTTGTCTGAGTTTCTCAAATCTTGCCCTCTGCCTGATATGGTCCTCACCAGCCAAGAAGATGAACTGTTCTGGAGCCAGTATCTGATAGACAGGAGTCCCTGTGTCTACGGCCATAGTTAACACACGATCTCCTCTGTGAATCAGGCAGAACTCGCACTGAGCCCGGTCTCAGGGAACCTACTACAATCTCAGGACTGACACCATGTGATGTTTGCTACAGCGGACATTTTCCCAAGATGCTTAAGAGACAGAAATCCTGGAAAAGGTAATTAGGGAAAATCTGCCCACTAGAGATGAGAAGGTATATACTCAAAGCAATATGGGACTTTAGGTGAAAGAGAAGAGATTAGGAAAAGAGAATGATACCCTTCCTTTCCATCAGCCAGAGGAAGTCCTGTCATCATCATAGGATGTATAGACCCAAACAAAGGCTGGAACACCAGCACTCTCCCCATTCCCAGCAGGTAGGTGGAATGCTGAGCTTAGATGTATGGAATGACATGCATCAAAGCCACATCTTCTGCACAGATATCTTCACCACGTAGCAGACTATGAAACCAAGCTCTGACTTTCACATTCTTCTACATCTGCATCATCCAAGTTTTGCATGTTTTTCTTCTGTCCACTGTTCCCCAATGCAATTTTTCCCTACTGTCTTCTGTGCAGTATTGTAAGTTAATTTTATTATGCAATTATAAGTAGATTTCATGATCGATTATGACAGGGGTGGGCAAAATGGCGTAACTGGCCTATGGCCAGGCTACATTTTCTGGCAGCCCCAGTGGTGGCAACTCCTTCTGGCTGCTGCTGCTAGAGCCAGCCCCATTGCCCAGGGACCCTGGCCCATCTGTGCCACATTGACTGTGGGGACAGGACCTGTACAGGTAAGGTGCGCAGATGAGTGGCTGGGATGGGGCTATGGCTGGGAGCAAGACAAGCAGGCAGTGCCAGGGAGACCCAGGGATCTTGTGGCAGTGACAGTGCGGGGCTAGTGGCAGAGCCATATCTGCTCCCTGCATGCCCCTGCCTGCAGAACCAGGGCTCGGCACCAGCCCCGGCTCTACACTGTCACCGCCCCACATTCCCAGGGTCTCCATGAAGACCAGCCAGGAGCCAAGCGGGCAGGGTGAGCAGCTGGGTGGGAAGCTGCATCTGGGACCAGGATCTTGGGGCGGTGGCAGCATGGCCTGGTGCTGCAGCAAAAGTACGATATGCTCCCTACCTCTGGAAACCAATCCCATCATAGGAGTGTACGGGCAGCAGATCGCAGCTCTGCCCTGGCACTGGCCAGCTGCTGTCAACACCCCAAGATCCCAGGGTCTTCCCAGTCCCACCCACTTGTCTCACTTCTGGCTGCAGTCCCATTCCAGCCACCAGGGTACATACCCTGCCCACATGAGTCCCACCTGTGGCATGGGTGCAGGGCAGATGGGATGGAGTGCCCTGGCAGCAGGGCTGGGTCCAGCAGCAGCAGCCAGAAGGAGCCACAGCCACCGGGGCTGCCAGTACATGGAGTCCACAGTGGGCCATATTTTGTCCACCTCTGCATTGTGAGTTCCGCTGAGCAAGAGTCATTTTTCCCCATGTCTCTTAAAAGGAGAGTCATTCACCCCTATCTCTACCTTGCCTACCATGCCTTAAAATTTAACTTTCTGGAAAGATTTCCAATTACTAGTGCATTTGTCAGATGTGGTTAGTATCCCATGACTGAAGGGTTAAGCAGTCTATAGCCTTTGCTCCAGTTCATTGAGCCCACCCTAAAGTTATTGACCAGCCATCTTCTCCAGGCACTTGGAAACAGGGAACAGAATAGCCATGGGCAGATCTAGGATTTCAAAAGGAGGGATGTCACTACAGTGCCACCCTTTGTTGAGGGGTTGGGAAGAGCAGCCCACCAAAGGGGAGTGCCAGCTCTTTGCCCTAGGCCCAGACAGAGCCTCAGGCTTAGCTGCCCTTGAGGCACTCCACAGGAGTGGTAGGTAATGATTGATTTTCCAGAGTTGTCCTCAACCCCTTGTGCCTCTGCTGCCCACTTCTGCTTTACCTGAGTCTTACAGGCTTCTGCACCCTGGAGAGAGTAGGCAGAAGTGAGGTTATGGAATACTATACCAGCCACTGGAGAGTGACAATGGTGGCAGCAACATTACCTGCCACAGCTTGGGCTCTCTTCACTCCAGCTGCTGCTGCTGCAGTGCAGGTGTGGACTCCAGATGGGCAGTACTGTATCTGGTGAGGGATAGAGGAGAAACCAGTACATGAGCCGCAAGGACCTGGTACTGCAGGGGATGCTAAAACCCACGTAGGGGGAACCTTTCCCCCAGCCACAACAACCATAGCTCATACCTGTACCTGCACCATAGCAGCAGCACCTAGAGTGGAGGGAGCCCAAGCCCTTCCAGGTAACACTGTTGTTGCCACCCTCTGACAGTCAGCATAATATTCCTTCCTATCCCCGTCCTGCTCCGCTCAGGGCATGCTACACCTCTGCCTTGACACCTCACTGCCACAGATGCAACAGATTTGGAGAGTGTGGCGGGTGCAGAGATCCCACCTCAGGAACACAGCTGGGTATTCGTATCCTTCCGCTGTTTCCACCACGTGAGGCGGGCCAGTAGGGGGTGCTCCTGC